CTTCCTAACATTAAAGAAGCTTTAACTTTGCCTCTTAGCTTGCTCAATTCTGCAACATTGACTCAATTACATGTCAAAACGAAAGGCCAAAAGCTTATACTTTCTTTTACAATTTGCTTACAAAGCTTTAAGGCTATTGAATTTATGGAGTATAAGAAGCTTTAACTTTGCCTCTTAGCTTGCTCAATTTGCAACATTGACTCAATTACATGTCAAAACGAAAGGCCAAAAGCTTATACTTTCTTTTACAATTTGCTTACAAAGCTTTAAGGCTATTGAATTTATGGAGTATCACCTTCACCAATCAGCATTGAACTCAATTTATTTATGAATGAAGAGGTCGTGAGAGTATTATCTCCTAAGCAATCAGTAACGAGCTCCTGGATACAACAAAATAAAACAAAAATCATAGTACCTTAAATTTAATGGTCAAAGGACATACAATAAGAAAAAAAATAATCCAAATAATTTTATGGAGAAATGTTAAATACAATAAATTACAATTGCAACAGTTTTATTCAATTAAAATATTTATGCTAAAACAATAGCACTATTGGCCATTGTTTATAATTAATCACAGTTGCAATGTCAACATTCTTTTATATGATTTCATGGCTTAAAAGCAAACTTGTATATAACCATAATCAGCTCAACTATTACAATAACTTAAAGATATAATTGTTTATAGGTATATACTTATTTTCAACAAGAGAAAAAGTACATTATTTTTAAAAGACATTGTTATCATTTTGATTTTTTTATTTAATATTTGATGACATAAATTATAAGGATATTACTAACAAACTTTATAAAGCACTGCAACAAAAATTCTAAATATATTAAATAAAGAACATATTAATTGAAAGAATCAATAGTAAATTCAATAAGTAATATTTTTTTCATATAAAGAGAACTTTAGATCTCAATGGTGCATTTAAATTATTAAATGCTTACGGAAAATTGAAATATTCACTAATTAATGATATTTCATATTGAGAATGAATTTTTTAAAAAGCTTATTATAAACATAATAATAATTATTCTTATGCCATGAAAAATTAAAATGAAGATATATAAATTAGAAGAGTGTGTGTGTTGTGTGTGATTAATTATTAAATATAGAAGAGAGAGAGAGGGGGAGAGAGAGAGAGAGAGAGTGTGTGTGTGTGTAATTAATTATTCTTATGCCATGAAAAATTAAAATGAAGATATATAAATATAGAAGAGTCTGTGTGTGTATGTGTGATTAATTATTCTTATGCCATGAAAATTTAAATGAAAGATATATAAATATAGAAAACTATAGAAAAATTAAATATATAAATATAGAGGTGTGTGTGCGTGGCGCGCGCACGGGCGCAGGCGCGTGTGTGTGTGAATATATATAAATAAATATAGAAGTGTATAAGAGGGTGGCGCGTGCACGCGCGTGTATGAAATTGAATATAGAAGCGCGCGCGCACGTGAAATTGAATATAAATATGGAAGTTGACATATTTATATTATGTTAGTAATATATATAAATTTAATTTTCTTTTAATTATTATATATGTTTTATTATTTCAGCCTCCCAACAAAATTTTCTGGCTCTAGTGGTAGATGAGAAAATTATATGTGGAAGACCCTTTGTTTATCTATATAAAAATATATATTTGCAAGTATTTTTATTTCTCGAACTTGACAAAAAACTGCTTTAAAACATGCCAATGCTTAGTGCTAAAGGATCTTACTAGATAATATAGTTGAGACACATGAGGAAGCAGCATGAACTTTACAAAACATGAAACTAATTGGATGATTAGCTTGAAACGTTTGTTCTTGTCTCAACCCATGGCAACTATAATTTGGTCTTCAACAAATGGCAAATGTATTAGAATTTATAAACTTATTTTATTAAAGAATAATCAGATTAATATGACCACAAAACAGTATCAAATGATCTTAATTTGTTTTATGTGTTTGTTGCATAGAGATGATTTATCTAATGAACTTACATGATAATATTTCAAAGAAATATCATATCAACTAGAATTCTTTGCATATAAGAATCAATAAATGTTATAAAGGTTTAACCATGTGATTATATACATACACACACACACACTCATATGAATTTAGAATTGAAATACACATTAAAATAACTTTGGTATATTGTTGATTTGATAGGCATAGATAAAAACGGATCATAATATTGAATGAAATTTCTATCATCTTTCTCTTTAACATCATTATATGCTTTGCTAGACTTAATGGCTAATAATGAGAGAAAACAAATATCCACACAGTCAATTGATTTCTCATTAAATAAAGCCAACCAAAATTGAAGAGAAAACACTAAACAAACACAGACATTCATGCACTAAAAAGGTGAAACACTTCCTAACCAAAATAGAAAAACATCAAGTGACAAGCCAACAACTTTAAGAGAAAAATACTCTTATTTTGTTTGTAAAAATTTTTGAAATTAAATTTCCCCACCATTTTGAGGAAAATTTCCATTTTTTGACCCTCAGGCTAGCTTCTGGATCCATCCTTGCAAGCCAATTAGAAAAACCTAAAGCCAATCATAACCAAAAATGACTTAATGGAAGGAGCAAAAGGACACCACCAAAATTTCAATGAGGAAGCTTCTAGATCCCAACCATCTTCATCATAGAGATCAAATCACAAGCCTGTAGAATCAAATCCACATGGTGAACTCACCAACCATGAAGCATTTCATACCAAATCTAGATAAAATTGCAATACTCGATAAGTTTAAGCAAAACGTACGTCCATCACAACTCAAGAAATCTTGATATATGAATGATTCACCTTCATATTGCAAGTCAAAGAGATGATTCATATCACCATCCACACACACATTGACCCAACAACATACGTGCCTTCCTCAAACCCATCCACATGGAGAACATAGGGGAGAGAGTAATTGAGAACCACCGACCACAAATGCAGGCCAAGCAACAATCTCTCTTACAAAAGGAGAGAAATAAAGGGGACTCTACTCTTAGCTACACATACAATTGATTCAACAAACTAAAAAAAGAAATGTGTGCCTGTGTACATGCGAGTGTGTGCCTTCGTATTTGTGTGTGTGGGAGTGAGAGAGAGAGAGAGAGAGAGAGAATAAGTTTAGGTCTAGCACATTTGATAATGATTATTAATTATAGAGTAACAAATAACTTAAATTTTCAAATATACATTGTATACAATCAGATACATTGTATATAATTAGATACATTGTATATTTGAAAAGTACATTAGTTTCGCTTCCTCATAAGAGGCATACCTAACCTTAAAAACTAATCTTCAAATACAAAGTTACATGCACACAAAGCTTACCTGGTATTAAATTGCCCCTTTCCTTATGTCGAGTGTGCGCCAATAAATTATATAAAGAATTATTAAGAGTAGCTATGGATTGACATATAATGAAGAAGAATTTTTTTTTTTAGAACAATGTTAACCAAAAGTTTTGAAAACAAAAAATCAATGACTTTACAAAAGGTAGGAAATTTAAATCTTGCATGGTAGAATTGTAATGTTTACAAGCTCTTTCATTTTTTTTGAAATATATATGGACAAGAACAATAATTTTCCTTTCTATTTATCTTCTATTATTGTTGTCTCGCTCCATTCTTTTACATATAGAATATTCAATATTCAAACTTAATAAAAATAATTAATTTATATACATTGGAAAAACAAAACTCTAACTAAAAATTATTTGTGTATACCAAATGCGAAGTTGAATCCTCCTTGATTTTCGTATATATGTACATCACTATGTTAGTATAGATACAATGATGTAATCCATGCGTACTAGTCTTCCATGATTGGGAGATAATCCCAAAGGTTTTTACACAAATATGAATGAAAGTGAATTAGAAAAATCTAGCCTAATCTGTTTCTCCTCTCTAAAATTTTCCCTTGCTCATATTATATTCCTATATCCTATATTTAATTTCTATTACTTTTATAATTTGTTGTTATTTAACTACTTTCTTTCACCCTTCAATACTTGACTACTAAAATATTTTTTAGCGATGTTTTTCTTTCTTAAATACAAGGATCTTAGTGAAAGATTCACATATATTTTTGGCCAAAATTTGAAATTTATTTTTTGTAAATAAATCTTGTTAATTATGTTATTCCATAACTACTCATAAATCTTTGGCATCCACTAACACTCAACGTATGGAAAAGAAAAAAAAAATAGATATATTGTATATTTTGGTCACAAGACATTTTTTATGGCTCCTTTATTGAGCTCATTATTGGATTATCTTCACATCTTAACCATTAAAATAATGCAATCCTTTAATTTTTAGTATATTATTCACAATCACTTGCATGAACATGCCTTTCTATATCGATCATTCACGTCAATCTACTAATTGGTCAACGTAATCAATTGGATGCATGGTTTCATTATTATAATTTAAAAAGGAAAGAAAATAATCTCAAAACACACATCTTTGTACTTCTTGTTTTAAATGATATGCCATTTTCAAATACAATGCATAACTTTGAGGGGGGGAAATTGACAATCCCTTGTGAGATGGAAATACACATAAATTTGCACATCATTATTTTGTAGAGAACTCAAAGTACATATGAGAATTCAAATGTAAAGAACTTAATTACATTAATGATCTTCAATTCTTCTCCACCTTCCACCTCATCGAACATCTAATAATAATAAACATTTTAACCATTGCAAAAAGTCCAATTAAATAAACAAAAATACTTAACAGTATGCCTACATTACTGCACCCTATGCTTGAATTTCTATACGTGAAGTCTAATGAGAAAAAGCTATTGCATGCAAGTGAACAAATTGTAGTTTGAAGAATATACGTGCGCGCGCGCGCGTGAATGAACATACGATGTAAAATAACCATTGATATACATTTGGCATGTCTTTGATTTTGGTGAGCAACTATCAAATAAAGCATCTAGAGTGTCTCCATCCTCATGTCCAACATAAACTTTATTAGGCTTCACGATCTTAGCATACATTTCATGAACATCAAAATATACCAATTTATACTCCTTTATCCATTCATCATGTTTAAATAACATTGGGTGTTGATGAGATGGAGACCAAAACATATACTTCACAAAAATGACCGTATAATATGAAATAGATCATAACTGTAGAAGAATCTATATCAATCACATATGACCAACTAAGGATATAAATTATTTAAGTTCGATCTCTCGTGGGCCTTGTTACGTTAACACAGCCTTCAAACTGAGCTTCTGAAACACAAAATTGATATTGTTCCTGTGACAATTGCATGACATCCAGTGGCAAGTTTTCCTACTCGAGCTCTCCATTTTCGCCTACAAAATAAAGCATGTAAGATACACAAATCACAAACACCAGACAAAGAAACGAAAGCAAGCAAAAGAAAAAAGCTACTGTTCTCATCGCTATAAGATAGGAAAAGGAAATGTACTTAATAACTTGTCTTTGGAATACAAATGCACTACCTGCAACCATTCTTTCTTGAATTAACAAAAGAAAAAACCCATAGACTTGTAGGTTTGTAGTAGACCAGAAACATAGTGCCAATCATGACTGCATGACTAGCAGTTCCAACCACCCCTAGATGCATGCTCTGGCTTGAAATCACAGGTGAATGAATAGGACTTTGTTTCCTTGTGAAAACTCCATGCATCCTAGTAATAGAGGTGGTTAATATTTCTGGATGGGTTGCAGCAAGAACCCATTGATCAGTCTGAATAAACCTGTAAAACAAACATTGTAGGGATAAGGACATATTTGGAAAGTATAATATATAACTACAAAGTCTAAGTGTTAGATGTATGGTAGTTCCACATTGAGTAACTAGAGAATTAATCACAACCATGTAAGTGTGCGGTGAGTCCTTCCATAGCAACCTAAGTTATTTTGGTGTAAGTGACAAATCTTAATTTGCGATTAATGTAAAACACTAACATATAGCTGCTTATAACGCATTAACTTAAATCAAAGTAAAGCAAGCATAGACTTCACTAGTTTTTGGTTCCACCTACAAAATTAGTCATTCCACTTTGAACATACAAGGCCCAACTTATAAACTTTCTATTAAATTAAAAAAAATCATTCTTGTTGATTAAATAATACCATTAAACGTTACTTTACTTCCATGAAGTCCAAATTTCATGATAAAGATAAAATATTATACATTAGAAACTAGATTAATTCAGAGATACAATTAAAATTAAGTAATATTAGAGTAGGTAAAAAAAATTCAATTTCATGATAAAATGACTTTGGTATATCAATTTTTTCATCTATAATTTTTAATTTGAAAATAAAAAAAAAATTAGGTAGCACTTAGATTGAAGGATTTTAAATTTGAAATGTCACATTGAGTGCAAAATGTACACTTCAGAGAGTGAAATCCCATCATAGTTCCATAATAAAAACATTGATTTCTTGGATAAGGTTCTATTTAGTGGTTGTATTTTTGTTCAATCACTTCAATCTTCTATGGATAATAAAAATATTGTAATCAAATTCTCCATTTCTTAATTTTTTTACTCTTTCTTTACAAGATTGGATAATTGGCTTGAACCATTTGTTCTTCTCTCAACCATTGCAGCTATAATTTGGTCTTCATCAAAAGGCAAATTTGTAAGATTTTATAAACTTATTTTGTTAAAGAAATCAGATTAATAAGACCACAAAACCATATCAAATGATCTTAATTTGTTTTATGTGTTTGTGGCATAGAAATGATTTATCTAATGAACTTACATCAACCAGAATTTAGAATATTACATCAACCAGAATTGCATATAAGAATCAATAGATGTTATAAAAGTTTAACCATGTGATTAAAAATGTGTGTGTGTATCTGAATTTAGAATTGAAATGCACGCACATTAATGTACCTTTGGTATACCGTTGATTTGATAGGCATAGATAAACACGAGCCATAATATTGAATGAAATTTTTATCCTCTTTCTCTTCTTCATCGTCGTATGCTTTGCCAGACTTCATGGTTAATAATGAGAGAAAACAAATACCCACTTAATCAATTGATTTCTCCTTAAATCAAGCCAACAAGAATTGAAGAGAAAACACAAAACAAACACAGGCATTCATATACAAACAAGACAAAACCCTTCCTAACCAATTTAGGAAAACATCAAGTGTAAAACCAACAAATTTAAGAGAAAAATATTCTTATTTTGTTTGTAAAAATTGTAAAGATTAATTTTCCCCACCATTTTGGGGAAATTTTTCATTTTTTGGCCCCAAAATTCTAGGTTATAGACCCATCCTTGTAAGCAGTTCAGAGAATCCTAATGACAAAAGTCAATCATGACCTAAAATGACTTAAACGCATGGAGAAAATGACACCACCAAAATTTCAATGACGAAGCTTCCAGATCCCAACCATCCTCATCATAGAGATTGAATCACAAGCTTCTAGAATCAAATCCACATGGTGAACTAACCAATCATAAAGCATTTCATACCAGATCTAGATAAAATTGCAATATTTGATGAGTTTAACTGAAACGTACCTCTATCACAACTCAAGAAATCCTGATCTGAGTGATTCACCTTCAGATTGCAAGTCGAAGAGATGATCCATCAACATTCATACACACGTTGACCCAACAACACACTCGCCTTCCTCAAAAGCCACCCATGTGAAAAATACAGGGGAGAGAGTAATCGAGATCCACCGATCACAAACGCAGGCCAAACAACAACCTCTCTCAAAAAAAGGAGAGAAATAAAGGGAGACTCTGCCCTCAGCCACACATACAATCGATTTTACTACTATTTTTTTTCTAGAGAATCTTATCAATACCTTGTAAATAAACTGCTATAAAAAATGTGTGCCTGTTTACCTGCAAGTGTGTGCATTCGTGTTGGGGTGAGAGAGAATAAGTTTATGTTTAGGACTTTTTATAATGATTATTAATTGTAGAGCTGCAAATAGTTTTAATTTTCAAATATACATTGTGTATAATCAGATACATTGTATATTTGAAAAATAAATCAATTTCACTCCCTTAGCAGAGACACACCTAACCCTAAACAGATTTTCACATACAAAGATACATGTATACAAAACTAACCCGGTATTTAATTGCCCCTTTCCTTATGTTGAGTGTCTGCTAATACAATTATAAAAAAAATTAAGAGTAATTATGGAATGAAATATAACTAGGAAGATTTTTTTCAAAAAAAAAAACTTAACCAAGAGTTCTGAAAGAAATAAATGGCTTTACAAAAGGTAAACAAATTTAAATCTTGCATCGTAGAATTGTATTATTTACAAGCTCTTTCATTTTGACCAAAACAATTATTTTCATTTCTATTTCTCTCACATTACTGTTGTCTAATTGCATTCTTTTACTTATAAAATATTCAATATACAAACTTAATAAAAATAAATAATTTATATACATTGAAAAACAAAAGTCTAACTAAAATTTTTTTGTGTATACCAAGTGCATAGATGAATCATCCTTGATCTTTTTTCGAGGGGGGGGGGGGTTGCGTATGTGTGTATGTCACTTTGTTAGTCTTGATGCAATAAGGTGATCCATGCGTATTTGTCTTGCATTGATCGGGGGAAAATTTCAAAGTCTTTTATACAATTATGAATACATATGAATTATATTCCTCAATATCAAAGATTTCCTCCTTTATCACCATGATGTTAATATTTTTTATTTAGTTAAGTGTTATTTTTGCCTCATAACTTTTATTCGAAGGGTCAATGAGTATCCTCAACTCAAATATTTTATAATAAAAAATATTAAAAAATATAGTGTGGAACCCACTAATAATCAACTAATAGTGAAAAAATAGCAGAATGATAAGAGAGGAAATTTTAAAGTTAAGTGATAGAATTAACCCATAATTAAATTTAGGGTCTCCAATAACCTTTTAGGTAGAGCCGGTAATTTGGATCAAACCCGACAGGCTAGGCCGAACCCATTGGAAAAAATTTAGGGCCGAATTTATAAAAAATATGCCTTTTTATGTTCGGGCTTAATCAGGCTATCCCAATAAAAAAATTTATCTTTATAAAATATAATAAATATTAATTAATTCTTTAAATTTTAGATTATTTTATATTAAAATACCATATATTTGAGTCCTAAGGATCATTTAAGTATCCAAAAATATATTTTATATTTTTTATGAAATAAAATAATTAATTTCAAAGTAAAAAATTTAATTAAAATAATTTTAAAAATAAAATTTAGGTATTCAAGTTAGGCTTGATTATTCAGACTTTTCAAGAAGCCAGGCTTATTCAAATTCGGGCCTATTCTGGTCAAGCTTATTCAGGCCAAGCCCAACCCACCTAAATTCTCACCTCTACTTTAGGTAAAGTTGAAGAGCAAAAATGACCCTTAAGTCAAAATAAAATAAAAATAATTTTAAGATGTTTCTATTTTTTGTTTTTAAAAATAAAAAATGAGAATAATTTTTGAAACAATTAGATTTAAAATACGTATCCAAACAATTTTTTAATTTTTTTTGTTTTAAAAAACAAAAAAAAACACTTTTTTTTAAAGCAAGAACCAAACAGAGCCCTAATCCATGGTTTCAAAAATTAGGGGATAAAGCCCATAATCATGGCAAGCAATTAGGGGACCGAAGGCTTGGGATAGAAGTGAGCAATAAAGAAGCCAGGGTGAGGGTGGGAATCCAAGAACCACTTGCTTCAATGAATGGCACAGGAAAGAAGAACAAATCCAACAAGGACAGTGACCTCCAAAAGGCCCAATTAAACAAGTAATATTGCCCCCTAATAGGCCCATTCTTACAATCCCTAATCCTTTTGGTTTTGAACCAACTCAACAAGGCCGAGTCCACTAGTGTTGTTCTAGAGGAAAATAATGTTACTAAGGCCAAAATGGTTTCGGGCTGTGAGACTAGTGCAGTGGAGCATTATTTAGATAATATTGTTGAGGAAGAAAATTCCATGAACATATATATAATTTCAACTCAAGGAGTTGTCCTGGCAGTATGTGATAATAACATGCAAGACACGGCCTTGACTAATAAAGTAGATGAGCAATGCCTTGTGTGTGGTAAATTCTGGGGCTCTACTACCTTGTCTCTCCTACTAATTGTTTTTATGGAGCGTCTTGTTTGGAATAGATGCGCTACTGGTTCCAAAACTTCCTTTAATCTCATTAGAAAAGTCAAAAATTTTATGACGTTGATATGACTGCCATTTTAGAAACTCAAGCTAGTGGTCAAAAAGCTCAACAAACTGCTAGCAAGTTTGGTTTCCATGATAGTATTCTTGTGGATGAAGATAGTTATGGTGATGGGACTAATTGGGTTCTTTGGAAGGACACTATTAAATCTGTGAACATCTTGGAGACTAATGTTCAGTCGTTTGTCCATCTTTTTATTGAAAATACTAGAAACCAAGGGAGTTGTATCACTTTTGTTTATGCGAATCTGAACCCTTTGAGAAAACGGATCCTTTGGAGCCATCTTTTACAAATTAGCTAGAATATTCAAGGCCCTTGGATTTCAATGCTATGCTTTACTGTGATGAAAGAAAATCTAATGCTCCTATCGATATGAATATAGATAAATATTTTTGTCAGTGGATGGAGCACATTAGTCTAACGATGTTGACTTTGCTGGTCCTAAATTTACTTGGTGTAGATGAGCGACGAAGGGAAGGCTGGATCAGGTGCTTAGAAATGATAGATTCTCAAATGCTTTTCCTGATGCTATATGGTCATGCATTTATCTTCCGACAAATCTGATCATCAGCCTCTTCTGATTAGAAGTGAAGGAACTCGCCAATATGAAAAAGTGAATAGGCCGTTTCGTGTTATTGTTCTCTAGGTTCTTCGTGATGATTTTCCTACTTTTGTGAAAATAAACAAAACTTGGAATTATAAAGAAGATTGGAATGTTAATACTCATGTCTTTGGGGAAGCTTGCTGCAAATGGAACAAAGAAGCTTTTGGGTTTACATAAGCCAAAAAGGTCTCAATACTTATAATTTAAATGACAAAAAGAAAACAGTACAAGATAATCTCTCTTTTTTATAATATATTACTTACATTAATATAATTGATTCTTATATTTATCTATTGAATTATTAATTTTTTTCATATATCATATTCCTTGTCTTATTTTTATACGAGTCAATAGTTTCAAATATCTTAACTAAAGAAGAAAAATAATGACTTGAAGCATGCCTGGCATCTCATTTATGTTGCTCTTGTAGCCTAGAATACACTCGTAGTTGCTACCATAATTTGTTATATATGTCTAATGTGTACTTGACTTTTAAATTGTAAACTTATAATTGTGATTTATATATCTCAATAATTGACTTTAAATTGTCATAATTTATGTACTTGAGATGTTTTGGTTTTAAGTTTAGCAAGTTATGTGATTTAATATTTTAATAAATGTTGTCATCTAAGTCTTTCTTTGACATTGTCTGCTTTACTAAGACTTCTTAATTCCTAATAGGATGGGACAAGATACTGGATAAAAATTCAATCCCCGTCATTTTTTGGGACAAGACATAAGACATGGGTGTTCTAGTTCCGTCTCATCCCATGAACACTCTTAAGTGGCATTACTCGATAGCTTGCTATGTGTTCACATAATAACATATACCAGAGGAGTTACATCATGATCTTTGATTGGAACTCAAGCAAGTTATGCTACAAGATTGTCTGCTTTAGGCTCTAAAAGACTAGAGCTTAATTACAAGAGACAAAATATGAAGTTTTTTCATCAGGTTTCTAATGGCTAATGAAATTGTAACCATGTGGATGCCATTAAAAATGAGATTAGGAATTGGATTACATTTATGAGACTATTGTGATTAAGTCTATGGTGACAATTAACCTTCTTTGCTTCTATCTATGGCAAAGATTTAGTGACTAGAGAGGAGTTAAATTGTTCTCGAGCTTACCTATATATTGATGATGATATTCTTAATAGGTTTGACCAAGGTGTGATTGATTTGGAAATTAAAGAGGCTATTTTTGACATGGGCACTGGAGCTGAATGGTCTTAATGCTTTTATATGTGGGAAAGGCTTTTATATGTTCGATTAAACACATCTTTCGCTATCCTTTTGATATTACCTCTATTAACGGCACTCTAATTGTTTTAATTCCTAAGAATGATCGCACCAACTTAGCCACTCCTATTGCATTTTTGCATAGGGTCATTTTTTTATTTAGCAGAAGAGAGAGAGGATGATTAGAAGAAGAGAGAGGGGAATTTGTCATTGAGAGAGAGAGAGAGAGGACAATGAGAAAGTGGGGAGGAGAGAGAGGAGAGGGAGAAGAAGGCAGAGTGAGTGGAGGATGAGGTGTCTGCCACTTATGCAGAATAATAGGGCCCACAAAATAGAAAACGAAACCATTAAGGTGCGTTAACATCGGAATAACAAAGTAGGTGATTTTAAATGTTTAGGAATAGAAAATGACCTAAAATTAAGTTTAAGACACTCACAAACTTTATGTGAAAAATTTCAAGGTAAAAATGATTATTAATCCAATATATTTTAGAATAAAAAATATTAAAAATGCAAGCTGTGAAAATGGTGAAACCCACTAATGGAACCATTAAGCACGTGGACAATGGAGTGACGAGGCCAATGATTTCAATCATTTAGGAATAAAATGATCCAAAATCAAGTTCAAAACACCAACAAGCCCTAAAAAAAAAAGTTCA